TACCAAGTGGGCTTTAGGTTTCAAAAGTTACATTTTACTTCCTATATAAAGGAAGTTGCTTCTGTTCTTCTGGCTCAGCAAAGGAAAGGGTATGAACAGTACAACAGAGAGAAATATAGCAGAAAAAACATCAGCTGAGGTAGTGTTTAATTGCCTCCATGCTTCTGGTGCTCTGAATATTTGATCATGTTAAATTCATGTACATTGTATTAAACTAAAGAGTATGACTATTGTATTAAACATGAATTGACACTTTGGACATTGTATACAGCTGTTTGTATTGACTTGGATGTATAATGTGACCTATTAATTATCTTAGCTTATACAACAAAAATGCTCTGGCCAATTCTAGCCATAACTTATAATCACTCAAATTGTTTTCTGCGGTTTAGATGGGTATATTGTTTAGGTTTCTAAGAAAAGAAAATATGTTGTGGTTACGGTGATGGCAACAATTGTTGGTGTTTGTGGTTTTTCTTTACATTTATTTACAAAAAAGGGGATGCTTGCTAATTATACAATCTTTCCTAATTAAATAATTAAAGCTTTTTAAAGTTCTTATGATTTTAGTTGTTTAAGTGTGCCCTTTTTTTTGTGTTCAAGTCTTTTTAAAACTTGGTGTCATGCAATGGTACATCTGAGGATCATGATTTCTAAGGCTTTGGTTTAGAACCATTAGTTCTACAATCTTTTACAGTTTTCATTTTTGTCTTTATGTAGATTAAATTTGAGCACATACTATTGAAGTAGAAATTCTGTATTTTTGTTATAGATTTGTGATGCCTGGTTTCTGTTTTGTTTGTAAGTGATTTGAATCGCGTTTTTTTATTTCCTTGTGCTGCACAAGCTGCTGTAAGTTTACATGTGCTGCTTGCTTACTATTATTTGTTGTCAATATAGTCATGCTTTAGTGTTTTTTTTTTAGTTGTGATTATTTTCTATTCTTATATATATTGCTGTTTTCATATATATACATTTACATAATCTCATGTTGTTATTCTCTTTAATTGTTAACCGTCTAAGCAAGTTTTTAGTTATTTGTATGCTTTGTTTATGCAGAAACCTATATTTGTTGTAGGCTTAATATATATGTACCAATTGTTTTGGTTGAGTTTGTTAGCTGTAAGAGCTTGTGTCCCTAAATTGTTGGTCTTATTTTAAAGTATGTGTTGTCATTAGGAGGCTTTCTAGATTAGGTGAATAGCATGTTTTAAGTTTGGCTGGGATGTTGGACTGCAATGTAAGGTTATCATTGCTCTACCTGGATCCTACTCTAGCCCACCTTATGATGTAATACATTGATCGTTCGCACAGGTTTTGGGGTCAGAACCACTCAAAGTGGCCATTTCTTTCCAGAGCTTACTCAACCAGGTTGTTGGGTTTCTTAAGGTTACCGGCTCCGACCTATAGCATGGCAGGCGATGATGGGAATGCTGTCAACATAGAGTTGGTCACTGATTGTATCCTGTCACCTTATATCTTTGAAGGTGGTGTGGATGCTACATTGGATGCCTCTCGTGAACATGTTGCTGAGCAAACTATCCTCTTTCTGAGAGCACAATATGGGATGCATATTGTTGACATCACTTCAGAGAATATTTATAAGCTGGATCAGTGTGCTTTTTTGTATGAAATGAAGCACATTGCCTTGGAGTCACTCAACAAGCCCACATCTAATGGTCGATCTAAGTGTCATGCGATATCTGTTAAGAAACAAAGTGCCAACTGCATCACCATTGACTACATTGATGTCCTGCGGGTCGTTGCAGTAGGAACTAAGGCTAGAGTTTCTGGCGTAGAAGTGGCTGAGCTAGCCGCGGATAAGTGGGTGTCCTGGCTGACAATATACACTCCTTCCAGTGTTGGAATGGAGTGCATTTGTATCTCCCTCAATGGGACTTGTAAGGGTGCAAAGCAAGATGCTGCAAATAGAGGCGTGAAGTTTCTGCGCAGTTTTTTCAATGTGGACATCGTTGACCTGAACTACGGCTATGCTGTTTATTCTGGCATCAAGTGTTCATTGGCCAGGGAAAGTTACATGGCTGTAAGGGAACGTGCTCTCGGAAAACAAGGGGAATTGCATTTGGCTCCCTTTCTTGGTGAAATTAACTGTTTGACACCCAAGTCTGGTGACAACAAGATCCCAACTCCTACACCCCCTCCGGCCGCCCCTCGCAAGCCAAGGGCTTCCTCTTCTTTTGGCAACAGGCCTCGGGCACATTCAGCTTCGATTCCAAGTGATATATCTGTTCCAGTCCCAGCTGATTTAGGATTAGTTTTTAAGCGCAGGAAGACTTAAATTAGTTTACTTTTATCCATGTGGTATCTACGCAACTATGTTTATGCTGCTGATTAAATATTTTGTGGGCACAACCACTAAGGTTTCTATGTAGCTTTTGTTTGCTTTATTTATGCCTTATTTTGCTAGACTATGGGATGTAAGAATTTCACTTGCAGCAGCTATGTTTTATGTAATGCACTGTTCTCATTTGAAGTGAATGAAATTATCGATGTTATATTTGGTTGGAAATTTTGATTGCTCATTCTTAATTTACAAATGTCAATTGTTTGGTGCTTCATACCATGTTTAACTAGCCTTGCTAAGCATGAATTCATGCTTTACTTGCAGGCCTCAGTCACATATACTATTGCTACAAGAGAAGTTTTAGACAGGAGTAGCTTTTTAAATGGGTATGTACATTTTAACCAAGGGGTGGGGAAACAAATTAAGAAGTGAAAAAAAGGTATTTAAGTCTAAGGAGATTTTGTATTGGGATTGGAATTGCACTTAAGACCATTACGGCCATTACTCTTATGAATAATATATGAACACTTTGCCTTCCAGATAAGCAGGAAGAATATGCAAATTATGTTAGGAAACGTTCTAGCAAGCGTTCACAAGTGATTGATGCTCATTCTGAGCCAGTTTCAGTTAGGTTAGAATATGTGTGAAAATCTGTTATCTGTATTATATACTATGGATAAGTTTTGACTTGAGGATTTGTTTTTGCATTTGTGAATTTAGTGAGGTAGGCGAAACCAGTGCACAGGGAGCTCTGCGAAATTCAGGCACCCAATCAACATCTTCCAAAACAAAACCAAAAAAAAAAGTAAGCAAGAAGACTTTCCTTATGTTTTTGAATTTGCAAATTGTAGCTAACAATCTTCATTTGGGATTCTTAATAGAAACAAAGACTATTGCTTGTGATACCTTACATGCAACATCAAGCCTTTCAATAGATAGCTCAGTAAGGTTGTGACATCTTTGCTTTTTGAGTATGTCTATTTTAATCTTGTAGGCATGTTTGCATTAACCTTTCCTTTGTTCTTTGTGTATTTAGTGAGTTTGGCGAAACCAGTGCACAAGGCGCGCTGAGAAACACCAACAAAAACAAAAAACAAGTAAAAAAAAAAAAAAAAAACAAAGCCAGCCAAAAAAGAAAAAACCAGTGAGTTTTTAGTTGTTTTTACCTTATATTCTCCAATGTTAGTAAGAATATCATATTTAGTGTTCTATTTTCTAGAGGACCCGACTGCTGCTATTGGCCAACCACTGCCATTGGCCCCTTTACAATTGGAAGCGCCTCATTATTGTCTAAAATGTGGAGCTAAGAAGTTTCAATACGAGTGGCTTCACTTTTGTTGTGGCAATGGGAGTATTAGAGTTGCTACAAATGATATTCCTCCTGAACTTCATCGGCTTTTCACATCTCAAGATGAAGATTCATTGAATTTCAGAAAATATGCTCGTATGTATAACAATTTGTTTGCATTTTGCTCACTTGGAGGCAAAACTAATGCTAGCTCTGAGAAAGGGATCTTCGTCTTCTTACTACATGGTCAGATTTATCACCACTTGCCAGATTTGCTACCTGAAAATGAAGTTCCTAAGTACTTGCAACTTTATTTTTATGATGCACAGTTTGAAGCTGCACGCAGAACGAAATTTTTTTCCTGAATTTAGAGAAGATATAGTGAACATTCTTATGCGTGTGTTTAGTGCAAATCCTTATGCTCGCTTCTTTAGATCATTACGAGAGCTCACTATAACTGAAACTACACAAATAATCATTAATTAGAGCACAGTTTTAGATCAACGTGTGTATAATGCACCTTCCACTAATGAAGTTGCTGCTATATGGCCAGAGAGTGTTTCTTCCAGTCAATCTAATAGTCCATACATAGTTGTACCAGGCAAATCCAACGAGTCTCATCGAATATATCACTATTATGGATGCTATGATCCATTGCAATATCCTCCTCTATTCCCATCTGGTGATTGTGGTTGGGGCACAGGGTCTTAGAAAGGATTTCGTAAATGCATAGCAGCAGGCCTTAATGGAGGTTGACCCTGTTTCTTCATGTGATGTTCATACTGAAGAGGATTTGCTGGCAGAGGAAGCAAGACATTTCTACATAATGACTTATTTTGATTCCATAGTTCAATACTTTTCCTTACTTACATAGCCAGATTAATAAGCAAGTTTTTTAAAAAAATACAGGTGCATCAGACAATTCAGGGAGCTCTAGAAGACATGTATCCCCCCGGGAATACTATTCCTACAAGATACAAATAAGGCCAGGAAACATGCTTCTTTTGGGAGGGCGTTGTTTTCAACAATACATTGTGGATATTTACGTTAAAATTGAAAACACAAGGCTTGATTTTTTTAGGCAAAATCAGCAGACAATCAGAGTTGATTTGTATCAAGGCATTTTGGATACAGTTGAAGATGGAAAGACAAGAGCCAACAACATTGGCCGACGAGTTATACTGCCTCCCACCTTCATCATTGGTCCACGGGACATGAAGCGAAGGTACTTAAATGCCATGGCTCTTGTACAACGCTTTGGGAAGCCTGATTTGTTTGTGACAATGAAGCGTAATGCCAAATGACCTGAGATAGCAGCTGAGCTAGCTCCTGGAGAAGGTGCATGTGATCGCTCAAATATTGTTGCTCGGGTTTTCAGAGCAAAGTTAATTGCTCTGAAAAAAAATAATGGAAGATATAGTCTTTGGCAAAGTTGCAGCTATGGTATATGTTGTGGAGTTTCAAAAGAGGGGCCTGCCCCATGCTCACTTCCTGATTATCTTAGAAGATGCATACAATTTAAAGGGACCTTCTGATTATGACAAATTCGTTACTGCAGAAATCCCTTCACTTGAATGTCCTCAGTTACGCAAAATTGTTCTTGGCCATATGATGCATGGTCCATGCGGCATTTTAAATCCTAAATGTACATGCATGATAAAAGAACATGGCAGTGAAGTTATCTGTAAGTACAGCTACCCTAAGCCATATTTAGAAGAGACCACGACAAATGAAGATGGTTTTCCAATGTACAGAAGAAGGAACACTGGTGAACATGTACGCATTCATGGTGCCTATCTTGATAACCGCTGGGTTATACCTTATAATCCATACTTATCTATGCTATTCGACTTCCATTTAAATGTTGAAGTCTGCTCCACCATTCAAGCGGTCAAATACCTGTACAAGTATGTGTACAAGGTCATGACCGTGTCTCTTTCAATGTTGTTGGCCAACAAAATCAAGGTGTTTATGAGATTAATGATTTCCAGTCTGGTAGATGGGTTTCACCATGTGAGGCAGCTTGGAGAATTTTTGGGTTTGACCTCTTTGAGATGACTCCTTCTGTGCAGCTTCTTCCAGTCCACTTGCCAAATATGCAAACTATTTATATGAGGTCTCATGAGCAACTAAATGTTGTTGTACAAGATGAAAAGAGAAGCACTACTGCCTTGACAGAATTCTTAAGACTAAATGCAACCATCCCTGGAGGCACAAGATATCGGTATACATAAATAATTGCACATTATAGATGGGAAGCGAGCAAGAAAGTGTGGGTTAAAAGAAGCTACAAAAAAAATGTTGGCCGGATGGCTTTTGTGAGCCAAGCAGAAGGAGAACGCTTCTTATTGCGTTTATTGCTTAGCAAAGTCATTAGCCCTGTCTCATTTGATCATCATAAAACTGTAAATGGAGTGCTCTACTCTACCTTCCAAGAAGCTGCAATCAAACTTGGGTTATTTCTGGAAGACAATGCAGTCACTTTATGTTTTAAAGAAGCATCGGAAGCACAGATGCCTTCAGCATTGAGGCAGCTTTTTGCAACTGTGTTGATCTTCTGCCAACCAAGCAACCCAAATGCTCTCTGGCTGAAGTTTTATGCTTCACTCTTGAAGATTTTTAGCATCAAAATCCTAACTATCCCGATAAAGTTATGGAGTTAATTGTAAGGGATCTTGAGAAAAACTTAGAAGCCATGGGGAAGTCATTAGAAGATTTTGGCTTAGACCATTTGTTTAAAGAAGCAAGCAATGAAATACGCATTACAAAGGATATTGAGGATGCACTTGAAGCACCTATTCCTCTAGAGTGCATTGATTGTCGAGAGAAGCTCAACGAAGCTCAAGCGAATGCATTCAATAGCATTATGGCTCATGTTAATGAAGAGAAGCCTGGTTGTTTCTTTGTCGATGGTCCAGGTGGAACAGGAAAAACATTTCTTTACAATGCTTTGTGTGCTGAGGTATGCTTAGCAGGCAAGATTGTGCTGCCAACAGCGACATCAGGTATCGCTGCTTCTAATATTCCCTCTGGCAGAACATCTCATTCTAGATTTAAGATTCCACTAGATTCATAAATGTCACTTGCTTATGATGTCCCAAAATAAGGAAGCTTAGTTTCTTTGATCAAGGCAAATGCTCTAATAATTTGGGATGAAGCTTCCATGGCTCGCAAAGAGAACATAGAATATTTGGATTTGTTGTTGCGCGATCTTTGCCACCCTAATCAGCCGTTTGGTGGCAAGGTAATTGTCTTCAGAGGAGATTTCAGGCAAGTTCTGCCTATGTTGCCCCGTCGTTCCAAAAGAGAAGTTGTTGGTGTTAGTGTAGTCAGCTCATACATTTGGCCTCTTTTAGTCAAATTTCGGCTAACAGAGAACATTAGAGCTAAAGAAGACTTGCCCTACTCTGCTTTCCTCCTAGCCTTGGGGAATGGCCAACTACAATCAGATTAAAGTGCTTATGTTCAGCTGTCTGAACACATAGTTCAGAACATAGATGCATATGAGAATCCAATTTCTGTTTTAACTGCAACGATTTTCCCAGAAATCTCTAATCCAACATTTGATAATGGCATATTCAATGAAAGAGGAATCCTCACACCAATGAATGAGGGAGTTGATGCCATAAATGACTATTTGATTGAGCGCTTTCCTGGCATACCTACTGTCTATTTAAGCTACAACTCAATCCTTGATGATAGCTGCAGCCTCTATCCAACAGAATTCTAAAACACACTTTCCCCAGGAGGGATGAGTGCACATCAACTTGTGCTTACGGTTAACAGCTCTGTAGTTTTATTACGAAATCTGGCACCATCTAAAGGAATGTGTAATGGTACTCGCCTAATCTGTAGGCACTTCCTTCCTAATTTAATTATTTGTGAAATAGCAAGTCGACATTACAAAGGAACGTTTTATTTTGTTCCCCGTGTAAACTTAAGGCCTTTAGCTTCTTCTAAGTACACTTTCCAGTTTGAACGGAAACAATTCCTTCTCAAACTCAGCTTTGCTATGACTATAAACAAGTCTCAAGGGCAGACTCTCAATCGTGTTTTAGTGTACCTTCCACAACCGTGCTTCTCACATGGTCAGTTGTATGTTGCTCTCTCACGTGCAAAAAAATCTAAAGAGGTGACAGTGTATACAGCTCAGCTGTCCGGTTCTGTTTCATCAACAACTATTCAGAATATCGTATCTTATGATGTTTTGAGGCTAGCCAATATCATCTAACTAGATTCATTCTAGATAAGGTTGGGCTTATGACACACACTCTTTTATATATACATCTGCAGCAATTTGGTTGTCAACTATCATATTATATGAAGGCTTATGTTTATATCTTTGTTTTGCAGTTGTTCCAGAGATTAGTAATGCATATTTCTCCTTCAGGATAGGCTTTAGTACGTGCAGTTCGTGCATATTGCAGTGGTTTTTCTTTGCAAAAACACGGATTGGTCTGACAAGTTTTACAAATTCTACCTTTAGTAGTTATTTTATAACAACATACTTTCTCCTACTCTTTTATAAAAGGAAAAATTATGAACATATGTTGTTATTTTTTTTGATGCCTTGGCCTTGCTATGCAGCAACAGCACATTGTTTGCAACTGTTTGTATATGGCGTAATTATTTTGATATATTTTTATTTACATATCTGATGTGGATCAAGAGGGAAATTCTTTTGAAGAGCCAATCATATTGGTTTTAAGGCCAATAGGGTTCGAGCTTGGAGTAAAGAATCAAGAATGGTTAACATGCGCAGCCATTGAAGAAGAAGTCAAGGACCAGTTGGGTTCCGACGACGGCAGCGGCGGCGACGCGCCGATATGGGTGCCACGCGCCGGCTCCCTAGCTCCGGCCTGAGTCCAGCTACACGGCGGTGGGGCGCGTGTCGATGATGGCGGCGCGTGAGGTGGTGGTTCGGCGGCAGTACGAAAAGAAAGATTTTCCTAACTTAGTTTTTTCTAGAGTTTTTGCTTGCAAGTTTTTACCTTTCACTTGAAAGGGTTTTTCTTGGTTTAAGCAATTAGGAATCTTCTTAATTTCTGTTATTTTATTTTAAAATAATTTCTAAGTCAATTAGGAATTGTTTTAAGAAGTTTTAGGTTAATTAGAACTAGTCTTATTACTAGTTTCCTAGTTCCATTAGAATTGGTTCTCCTATTCTATCTAGGATACTTGGGGATCAAGGCTAGGGTTTTTTCCTAGTTCGAATAGACTTAGGAATAGTTAGTTTTAGTCTATAAATAATGTAATTTTCGTGATTTTTGAAAAACATTCGAAAATCATTAAAATTCAAGTTAATTGTTTGTTTTGCTTAATTGCTTACAAATTCTTTTGCTAGTTTTCAATTCAAGGAGTTGTTTTGATAATTAGAACGTTCAATTCTTAGTTCTAGGAGTAGTCTAAGTTTTGTTCATCAAAGTACTTAGTTCCAGGAGTGGTCTAGGTAATTTGAGAGGCGTTGAATTCGTTCCAGGAGTGGTCGTTTTCAAAGTCATATCCGGTTTGTTATCTTTAAGTTGTTCGATTTTCTAACGAAATTCGAAGGGCTTGTGTTACTTGTGTGATTTTAGATTCTTTATTAAGTTAAGGGGTTTAAATCCACATCAATATCTCTCTTTTCATTATTTACCTAACATATAGTGTGAAATATAAAGGTACATACATTTCATACTAAGTTTATTATTATTATTTTTAAAAGGATATATTTGAAAGATCTTCCAGAAAGCAGCTTATATAATCACTTACTTCAAATTATATTGAACAAAATAATAAAGTAGAGAGTTTCAGCTAAAATCAAATACTATTTTTAGAGTTCCAAGGATTAGCAGATATGTTATCAAAAAGTTTTGCAATATTTATAAGTCCCAATAAAACTTCAGCATTGAAATATATGTTGGTTAACCAAGTATCATCATGGTATGTTTGTTTCCAGTGGACAATATACACTTTGGTTTTCCAGCCAATCAGAACACTTCCCCTTTTTTAAAAAAGTAAATTTAAATGCTTTCCTTGTTCTATTTAAGAGAACCTTGTTCATTTCAGAACGTTTGCCTCATTTCTCTGATAAAAATAGTATTTTTGTAGCTGGTTGCTCATACCTTTCTGCTGTTAAGGTATGTGCATTAATGTTTTTGTTTTCATGTCTTTACATCATTTAGTTCTTACTTGTCTTCATTTAATAGCATGCCTTCATTAATGGTGTTGATTGTTATTACTCAATTAGTATCTTTGTTGCACTTCTGTTCACTATGATGCTTCTATACTTTGTCACAATAAATGCTCCTCTGAATGCACACTGGTTGAATTACTAGGCCTGTACTGTTTCCAACTTAAAGCAAGTCTTCTTTAATTTAATTCACTATAAAAGATCTATATTTAAGATTCCTAGGTTGTTTACCAGTATATGGTTCATATGGTTTCTGTTAAGAACCACATTGCTATGTTTCTAACAGAATTCTCAACAACTTCTGTGTTTTATCTTCTATTGTCTGATAAAATTGCTAAGCTCATTTTGAAAGTGAAACTTAATTATTACCTCTGAATTTAGAAAATTTGTGTTGTTAAGGATGTATTTCATCTATCTAAGAAAATTTTCTGGAAAATCAAAACCCTGTGTCCTTTTCAGTTTTGGCCATATATGTGTTACATATTTCACTAATGCTAAAAAACATGTTGTTTGAAATGTGCAAGTTGTCTGAAATGAAAGAAGTTCTCTTAATATGCCAATCAAAACACTTCCCCTTTTTTAGAATTTTTTAATTATTTAGGTAATGTTAAAAAAACATGTTACTTGCACATTAGATATCAGACAACTTGATTTCTGAATAAACTTTTGAAGCATTTTAGAACAAGGTTCACTAATGACCACAATCAAATGATCCTATAAAGCCTATAAGATTGTTAATTTGTGTAAGATAACCTTTCCTTGTATGCAAATGAATTAGATGAAACCTCGATATGTGCCTCTAGATAAGCTAACTCCCAAAAACAAGAAGTACAAGATTAAAGTTAAGGTGAAGGAGAAGTCTCCTGCAAAATATCCAGAAGGCAAGAAGGCTTACCAAAAACTTGTGTTTGAAGACGATGAGGTATATATAATGCTCTGAATATTTGTTGTGTAATTAGCTAAAGAAGTTAGCATGTTCTAATTCATTTTTGTGTTATGCTGTTAGGGGAATGAAATGAGAGGAACCCTGTTTGAAGATGACATTGATAACTTTAAGACTGT